GTCCCATCTTACACGACGATCCACGCCTCCATATACCCGGGATCCGACCCGACCCACTTGCTCGACCTACCCGGATCCGACCCGAACAAGGTCAGGATCTTCGAGGCGGATCTCCTCGACTACGACGCCGTTTCGAGAGCCGTAGAGGGATGCAAGGGGGTGTTCCACGTAGCGTCGCCGTGTACGTTGGATCCACCGGAGGATCCGGAGAAGGAGCTGATGGAGCCGGCGGTGAAGGGGACGATGAACGTGTTGAAGGCGGCGAAGGCGAGGCGCGTGGTGGTCACGTCCTCGATCTCGGCTATGGTTCCGAACCCTGGCTGGCCCTCCGAGAAGCCCGTGGACGAGTCCTCGTGGACGGACCTCGACTACTGTAAATCCAGACAGGTTCCCTCTCCCGTATTCATCTCACCATATAACCCATTTTCTATATAAAAGTTAGAACTTGCTGTGATTTATTGATAAAAATCTACCCTTTGAAATGCCAAATAAAACCCAAGGTTTATGCAAAAGTTTTTCGCCTTTAAACTTTTTTCCTAAACCCGGTGGGAAGCAATGAATTGCAGAAATGGTATCCGATCTCAAAGACACTGGCTGAGAAAGCGGCTTGGAAATACGCGGAGGAGACTGGGATGGACATGGTGACGATACAGCCGTCCACGTGTCTGGGACCGCTGCTACAGCCGAGCCTGAACGCGAGTTGCGCTGTGCTGGTGCAGCTGTTGAAGGGGTCGACCGAGACGCAGGAGTACCACTGGCTCGGCGCGGTTCACGTCAAAGACGTCGCCAAGGCTCAGGTGCTGCTGTTCGAAACTCCCGAAGCTTCCGGAAGATTCCTCTGCACCAATGGAGTTTATCAGTTCAGCGAGTTCGCTGCTCTCGTGTCCAAACTCTTCCCCGAGTTCTCTGTTCACAGGTAGTGTTCCAAAATACTCTCATGGTTGTAAATATGGCCGGATGTTTTTACCCTAAACCTGTCTGAGTATTCGACTCACGGGTATCTGTTCCGTGGGAATCGAATGCTGTGAGGACGAGGTCGGCTGCATCGCCTCCGAAAACCGAGAACCAGATCGGGTTTTGTCTGCTGGTTAACTCAATCCTCGGGGTAATGTAAGCCCAGGGGGGTGGGGAGAGAGATTTCCAGGGTCGAGTCGAGGGAGAGGGAGGCACGAGGGGTAACGGCGCGGGGTGAGGACCCGAGGTGAGTGACTGGTTAGTGGCTGCTCGCTTCGCGCAGCGTGGAAAATTTTGGGCATCGGCCTCCACCCTCCATGTTGTCGGCCTTCTTTGCCCATCTCGCCGAACGAAGCCTAGCCTCAATCTTCTCCTTTATCACGATATGAGGCAACAATTCCCCGTCGCGACCTCGCTCCTCGTCGGCCAGATACCCGAATCCTACATGAGACCAAGACCTCCTGTTACCCCGGGGGGGGGGGGTGATTGCCCCGAAAATGGCATCTATCATGATGTCAACATGAGATTCGATTTCTAACCGCCGAAAGACGAAAACTTAACAATTTCGAGCACAATTCTCCATAAGATTTCAGGGTCTAAGCAACGATGATACTACAGGTTCGAAGGAGAAACTCAACCTGGCCTAAAACGCTGCGTAGAAGCGGCGAAGAGGTTGATGGAGCTGGGAATGACCTTCACTCCCCTGGAAGTTGCTGTCACGGAGACCGTTGAGAGTCTCAGAGCCAAAGGCTTCCTCTGATTCAATCTACATGTTTTCTCACTTGTGATGTTCAGTTATAAGAAACAACCATGTTGAGTTCTTGTAATAAAAAAAACATGGAGATCTCATGAATTTTATGATTCAAAATGATTTAATGTTTCTCTTAATGATGTCATTTGGGAAAAAAAACACGATTTATGTCCATTAATCAAAGAATTAATTGAGTAATTAAGGCTTCATAGTATCCTCCTACACCAGATTTCTCTCCTTTCTTTCTTAGTTTCTATCTGTAGTTAAAAACAAACTACACAGAATCAATCTTTTTTTACATACAGATCGTGGAAAATCTCGGTTTAGGGCGATACCGATATACGGAGACTCTGATTCTCCGTAGCGTTCTTCAACTGGGCTCTTGCTTGTTTCGATACCGATCCAGGCGGTCCTTCTTCTGCTTCTTCATTAGATTCTGCATTCCCGAGCTCTCTCAGAGCTTTTTTGGCGTATATCGTAAAGGCTACAGTAGTTACGATAGCGACGATTAAGGAGATTACATTGTAAACGATCTCCACTGTCGTTAACCGACGATTTCCATACTGCACATCGGCATACGTTCTGATCAACCGACCACTGCAATATGAATTAGATTTCCTCGCTTTAGGTTCAAACAACTGCTGCTAGTTTATTCCGAGGGTGAGGAGACTGACCTGTAGATGTAGATGAAAGCTTCTGGTACCATCCCGGCTATGGATCCGAACAAGTAGGGCCAGAATCTCATGCTCGTTACAACGATCGCGTAGTTGAAGATGGTGTAGG